ATCTAGCTTTGTGGAAGCTTCGTCAAGTTCCTTGAGTTGGAACTTTGATTTTAGGAGAAATCTGAATGAGATGGAGATAGAAGAGGCGGCCAGCTTATTACAGAAAGTGGAAGTGGTTAGCTTGTCTCCATCAAAAATGGATAACAGAAGGTGGAACCTAGAAGCTTCGGGTTTGTTCACATGCAAATCCTATCGTTCATCGCTGAGCAACAATGGGATTGTGCACTATTATCCACCCTACTCTCAGATTTGGAAATCAAAAGTTCCTCCAAAGGTTAAAATACTTGTATGGCTTGTGGCCACTGGGAGTCTCAACACTTGCGACAAAATTCAAAGGAGAAACCCTCAGATGTGTTTATCCCCACATTGGTGTAGTTTATGTAAAGCTAAGGAGGAGAGTGTAAATCACATCTTTCTTCATTGCTCCTACTCGATCCAACTATGGTGGAAACTGTTTCAGGAGGTTAAAGTAAGTTGGGTCATTCCTAAAGGGTGTTTTGAGCTACTAAGCACCAATTTTAAGGCACTTGGAAAAGGGAAAAAATCCAAAGCTCTGTGGGGTTGCCTGGTATCGGCAATTTTTTGGAATATATGGCTGGAACGCAACAGAAGGATTTTTGAAGACTATACTGGAGTGGGGGCAGAAGTACTTTGGGGGAGAGTAAAATATTGGGCATCTTTTTGGGCTTCGGTTACTAAAGAGTTTGATAATTGCTCTCTATCTCAAATACTGTGGGATTTGTTAGCAGCAGTTAAGTGAGCTAGGTCTAGAATTGGCTACTGTAGCCAAATCTTATTGGGATTTTCCTTTCTAATTTGTTGGTGGACTTCTTATCCACTTCTATATTTTTCTCTATTCTTTAATAAAATTGTTTCTTCTCAAAAAAAAAAAAATCATGCTGGGGGTCTGGCTCTCGAGATTCGGGGAGCAGTGTCTCTTCGATTTTTGAGAAAGTAATCATGTTGGGAGTCTGGCTCTCGAGATTCGGAGGGCGGTGCCTCTTCGATTTTGGAGTAAGCAATCTTGTTGGGAGTGTTTTCTCGGATGTGAGTAAAGGTTGGGCATGTTTGCTAGTCTACCTTGCCACGAAGCACAGAGGTTGACACACAGGGACTTTCTAATTATCCAGCAGTGGTACTATTCCTTTACCCTTGTGGGTAATAATATGGTAGCTAGACCTTCAAAATTTATGTGTCTAAACTTTGTTAGTGCTGTTTCTTTGCTATTCTTTTACCTTTCTTGGTCAGAGCGATGTAGTGGGAGCTGCAAGCTTCACGTGCTCAACTTTGGCAGAGAACTTTGGCAAAGTTATCTGTGGTACCCATGAGCTATTGTTGCGTGTGGGAAGTGGGTGATTGAACAGTAAGATTCATGTGCTTTTCTACTTCACCAGAAGTCTTCGACAGAATGCCCATAATTTCTGCAAAGCTGAGTGTGCGTGTGACAGGTGCTGACAAGGCTAGAAAAGTAGGTGCCTCTTCGATTTCTGAGATCGGCCCTCGTGGTCTCTGAGCAGCCCAGCTTTTGAGAAAGCGAGCGCCTCTTCGATTGATTCGGAGAACGATGCCTCATCGATTTTTGAGAAAGCAATCATGCTGGGGGTCTGGCTCTCGAGATTCGGGGAGCAGTGTCTCTTCGATTTTTGAGAAAGTAATCATGTTGGGAGTCTGGCTCTCGAGATTCGGAGGGCGGTGCCTCTTCGATTTTGGAGCAAGCAATCTTGTTGGGAGTGTTTTCTCGAATGTGAGTAAAGGTTGGGCATGTTTGCTAGTCTACCTTGCCACGAAGCACAGAGGTTGACACACAGGGACTTTCCAATTATCCAGCAATGGTACTGTTCCTTTACCCTCTCTTCGATTTTTAAGAAAGTAGTCATGTTGGGAGTCTGGCTCTCGAGATTCGGAGGACGGTGCCTCTTCGATTTTGGAGCAAGCAATCTTATTGGGAGTGTTTTCTCGAATGTGAGTAAAGGTTGGGCATGTTTGCTAGTCTACCTTGCCACGAAGCACAGAGGTTGACACACAGGGACTTTCCAATTATCCAGCAGTGGTACTGTTCCTTTACCCTTGTGGGTAATAATATGGTAGCTAGACCTTCAAAATTTATGGGTCTAAACTTTGTTAGTGCTGTTTCTTTGCTATTCTTTTACCCTTCTTGGTCAGAGCGATGTAGTGGGAGCTGCAAGCTTCACGTGCTCAACTTTGGCAGAGAACTTTGGCAAAGTTATCTGTGGTACCCATGAGCTATTGTTGCGTGTGGGAAGTGGGTGATTGAACAGTAAGATTCATGTGTTTTCTACTTCCCCAGAAGTCTTCGACAGAATGCCCATAATTTCCGCAAAGCTGAGTGTGCGTGTGTGACAGGTGCTGACAAGGCTGGAAAAGTAGGTGCCTCTTCGATTTCTGAGATCGGCCCTCGTGGTCTCTGGGGAGCCCAGCTTTTGAGAAAGCGAGCGCCTCTTCGATTTCTGAGATCGGCCTTCGTGGTCTTTGAGCAGCCCAACTTTTGAGAAAGCAAACGCCTCTTCGATTTCTGAGATCAACCCTCGTGATCTCTAAGCAGCCCAGCTTTTGAGAAAGCAAACGCCTCTTCGATTTCTGAGCAGGCGCCTCTTCGATTTCTGAAGCTCCGTCGAGTGCAGATTTTTATAGGGGCTGGCATTAAGTTCCAAAGCACACTTGAATCTCCACCAGTAGAAGCTTCATTCTTGCACTTCTAAGATCTTGATTTGTCCGACCTCTTCTCTCTTCAACACCTTTGAAAATGTCTGGCCCCTCCGACCGTCGTTTTGACTTGAACCTTGTTGAAGAGGCAGCCCCGCCTTCTCCAGACAACATATGGCGCCCATCCTTCGTCTCGTCCTCCCCTACTGGTCCTCTTACCGTTGGGGATTCCGTGATGAAGAATGATATGACCGCTGCGGTGGTGGCCAGGAACCTTCTCACTCCCAAAGATAACAGACTACTTTCCAAACGGTCTGATGAGTTAGCTGTTAAGGATTCGCTGGCTCTCAGTGTTCAGTGTGCAGGTTCTGTGTCTAATATGGCCCAACGCCTATTTGCTCGAACCCGCCAAGTTGAATCATTGGCGGCTGAAGTGATGAGTCTCAAACAGGAGATTAGAGGGCTCAAGCATGAGAATAAACAGTTGCACCGGCTCGCACATGACTATGCTACAAACATGAAGAGGAAGCTTGACCAGATGAAGGAAACTGATGGTCAGGTTTTACTTGATCATCAGAGATTTGTGGGTTTGTTCCAAAGGCATTTATTGCCTTCGTCTTCTGGGGCTGTACCGCGTAATGAAGCTCCAAATGATCAACCTCTGATGCCTCCTCCTTCTAGGGTTCTGTCCAGTACTGAGGCTCCAAATGATCCCCCTCCGGTGCCTTCTCTTTTCTGGGGCTCTACCGACTGCTGAGACTTCTCCTAAGCAACCTTTGTGAAGGCTCCCTCTTGTGTGTTTTATTTTGACTCATGTATATGTACATATTTGTAGCTTATCGGGGATATCAATAAATAAGCTTTTCCTTCATTTCAACGTATTGTGTTAAATACACCAAAGCCTTCTTCGCTAAGTTCTTTGAATTTTTTTTTGTTGAAGCTTGTATGTTGAAGCTTTCTGAGTGGAGCATGTAGGTTGGGGTAGTGTTCCCTTAATTTCCCGAGTGAGGAAAACTTCTCGGTTGGAGACTTGGAAAATCCAAGTCACTGAGTGGGATCGGCTATATGAATCTTAGAACGCCATTGTGCTCGATCCTGTGTCATGTCCTTCGTTAGATCCAAGTACTCTAAGTCTTTTCTTAGAGTCTCTTCCAAAGTTTTCCTAGGTCTTCCTCTACCCCTTCGGCCCTGAACCTCTGTCCCATAGTCGCATCTTCTAATCGGAGCGTCAGTAGGCCTTCTTTGCACATGTCCAAACCACCGTAACCGATTTTCTCTCATCTTTCCTTCAATTTCGGCTACTCCTACTTTACCCCGGATATCCTCATTCCTAATCTTATCCTTTCTCGTGTGCCCACACATCCAACGAAGCATCCTCATCTCCGCTACACCCATTTTGTGTACGTGTTGATGTTTCACCGCCCAACATTCTGTGCCATACAGCATCGCCGGCCTTATTGCCGTCCTATAAAATTTTCCCTTGAGCTTCAGTGGCATACGGCGGTCACACAACACGCCGGATGCACTCTTCCACTTCATCCATCCAGCTTGTATTCTATGGTTGAGATCTCCATCTAATTCTCCGTTCTTTTGCAAGATAGATCCTAGGTAACGAAAACGGTCGCTCTTTGGTATTTCTTGATCTCCGATCCTCACCCCTAACTCGTTTTGGCCTCCATTTGCACTGAACTTGCACTCCATATATTCTGTCTTTGATCGGCTTAGGCGAAGACCTTTAGATTCCAACACTTCTCTCCAAAGGTTAAGCTTTGCATTTACCCCTTCCTGAGTTTCATCTATCAACACTATATCGTCTGCGAAAAGCATACACCAAGGAATATCATCTTGAATATGTCCTGTTAACTCATCCATTACCAACGCAAAAAGGTAAGGACTTAAGGATGAGCCTTGATGTAATCCTACAGTTATGGGAAAGCTTTCGGTTTGTCCTTCATGAGTTCTTACGGCAGTCTTTGCTCCTTCATACATATCCTTTATAGCTTGGATATATGCTACTCGTACTCCTTTCTTCTCTAAAATCCTCCAAAGAATGTCTTTTGGGAGTAGTGATGTATGGGGCAATGGCCAAAAATATATAAATTGTAATTTGAAGAGCGTTGTGGATTGAAAAGTCTTTGATATTCTAATTGATCTGTCACTCCATATGTAACTACTTTACAACTGGAAACTTTCGTCCCAGGTGTAATTTGTTGGTTTGATTTGGTTTTTTTCCACGCACTCAACTCTTACATGTGCGCTTCATGTTGAGATCTTTTTTTATTTTTTCCAGAAAAAAAAAGGACGATCTTTAATTTAGTTCTACTTTATTTATGCAGTCATCAGAGGAAATCAGCATGACGATTGAAGAAAAGCACAAGGTGCAATGTGCACTTGGTAGACTACAGAATGTAATAAATACACTGCACGGTGAGATGCAGTCAGTCTAGAAGAACGTTGTTAATCTGAGGTAACCTGTGTTGTGAGTCTTCTTCTTCATAACCATCTTTAGGATTCATTTAATAATCCGCTTTGTTTTTAAACCACTCACACCCCCCCCCCTCCCTCTCCTCCTCCCATCTCTCTCTCTCTCTCTCTCTCTCTCTCTCTCTCTCTCTCTTGAATAAATAAATAAAGAGATGAAAGTGTGTAGGACTATTCAGAAGTTGATATCTCATGTGTACACGATCTAGTGGGAGGAGGGAGACGAAAGTATATGGCTCTGGAATGTGCTTTAGCCCTTGTAGCTTTAAAATCACACTTGGAAGACATTTGGGATAACGATTAGCGAATGACCAATTTTAGAGAAACAGTTTAACTACTTCTTTTCGGGACAGCTATAAGTATCCGCTGCATCTGATTCCGTTTGTTGCAGGAATACGCAACTATGGTGGAAGTACAAGGAGTTTAAGGAGAACAGACGGTCCAGATCCAGTAGCCAGAGTACGGCTTGTAGCTTGATGTTGGTCGTCAATCCTTGACTTGGTTCAGCTTAGGTACTGAAGGCCCGGACTGAGTGCACATCTCCCATGGCCGTCGGAAAAGCAAAAGAAGAAAAGAGTCTCAAACATGTAGCATATTTTTCGGGTTTTGGGGGTATGAAGCTAAAGTAGTGTCTCCATCATATATCTGGCTATGTTGGGTGTCCAATTTTGTTGTAGAAAGATAAGAGTATGATTTATAAACTATCTCAAAATCAAAATAGAAGATGAGTATGGTTAATCAACTGAACTTCTCATACTTCACATCTTTTGTGTCCCGACAAGCATGCTCTCTCTCGCCATCTCCTGAATCGTTCTTAGAAGATCGAGGGTCAGTCGACGGTGCACTACTCTAAAAGATTCTCCTAGTCAGCTTTCTTACGCCTTACGGGTTTAATTGCTTGTTATTATGTCGGACTTTATGATTTGTGTTTCAAGGTGGAACCAAGGGAAGCTTGCAACCTTTGGCTAGGATTACAAAGATGCCGAGACCCTAAACTGGCTTGTTAAATGTTTAACACTTAAAACTCTTTAGTTTTCATTAACTCGGAAATTTGTGTTTGTATGAAATGTAACTCATTATTCATCTAATTAATTAAGTGATTGACAACAATACTTAAATGTATTTAATAGAATCGTCATCTGATGATCATATGTAATATATGTGAATATACGTAAATTAGGACATCATGTCTGACCATTGAGATGATAATTGTATTAAATACATATAAAAAGTAACAAAATAAAAAGTGATCAAATTCAATAGAACATAGCTAGGGTTAGTTCGAAAGGGACAGAAGGCCCAAAGAAATAAATTAGGCGGGAAAAATGACTCAATCCCAAAATTTCCCCAATTTCTTGGCGCCAAAATCAAAGTAAATGATGAGGTAAGCGCAATGAAATCAGATCCAGTTCAAATCAACTCCGACGAATTCATGCAATGCAATCAAAGATCAGTGCCTTCTTCAAACCCTCCTCTTCTTCTTCCCCTTGCCCCAACCCAGCAGCCGCACCTCCGCTTCTTTCCAACGAAAACGACGACGAAATGACCGTCTGGGAGAATACGCAGCACCAGTACTGTAACACCTACAAGCGAAGAGCTCCAAACCCGCAAAGGTATTTGTTTTTTGTTCTGGGCTTTCTGCTGTTTGGATGCCGAGAAAAAACGTTTCAATTTTTATTTTTTTTATTAAAAGTTGTTTCTGGGTAGCTTCTGTTAAGACAATTAGGAAGTGGGGTTAGCCTGGATTTAAAATTCTGGGATTTTCCTTACAGAAAATCTGAGATTTAGTTTATTTATGAATATATTGATTTACTGACTGTTTAAATTTAAATTTAAATTTATTTGCTTTTGTTTCCCTTCCAATCTTTTCTTTGTGTAGAGGAAGGGACAAAAATCCAGTGAACCAATTGCCGGAGAAACCCTTTTCTGATGGTAATTCCAGGAAGCCGGAATCGACCACATTGGGAAGAATAGTGACCAAGAACAAGAAGAGAAGCTATGCTCAGTTCTATCTGGACTTTGGACAGTCTGATTTCAATCTGCACACGTGCTCCACGTGCGGGGTCAAGTATACCGCCGGAGACGAAGACGATGAGAAGGCTCACAGGGCATTTCACAAGGACCATACCAATGGAATTCCATTCAAGGTGCAAATTCGTTATAGGTTTTCTGTCTCCTTTGTTAGGTCCATTGATAAAACAATGAGATTGTTAGAAATGGGTGCTTGTTTACTCAAATTGCTGACCAAACTTTGCAGGGATGGTGCAATGAGAGGGTTGTTCATTTGCCTTCTGTGGAAGGAGGTCGGATTGTTTTGGTGTTAGATTCTGATCCTCCGGCTCAGAGAAACAAGGTTCGAACACAAAATCTGTTTTCTTGAATTTGATACTTTATCATGGGATTGAATTGGATTGGATATGATAACTCATAAAATTCAAGGTATTATAAAGGTAGAGGTGAATGATTAGAGTGGAGGAAACTTACCCCTTCTGGTTTCTAGCTCAAGTTAAACACAATTTTCATTTCTTGCTTCGAACATGCCTTAAATTAAATGGGTTATATAATCAAGCACCAAACGAGCCCTATATAAGTGGCACTGTTTCAAAACTCGAAGATGCGCTTAATTGGGCTACTATGTTGTATGGCAGGTTGGGGAAGTTGTGAAGAGAATGGAGAGTGAGCTTGGAAATGGATGGATTTTGCACAAGTTGTGTAAGGTGAATGACAATTAACTTGGTCATTTAGAAAAATGCCACCAGAACTTTTGGTGCATCAAATGTCTTTTATTCAACTACCATTAACTTCTGGATACACTTTCTCTTAGACCTTTATGAATACTTCGGCGCCATGTAACTCCAATCTTTTGACAGTTTTACAAGTACAACAAAGCGTTTTTCTTGTTTTTTTTAATTTTTTAATTTTATTGTGTGGATACTGTAATTCAACTATGACCTCCATTTCCAGTACCTGACTGTTGTGTTTTCAGGTATATCTGTTCATTTTGTCCCAAAGGGTTGCAGGCTGTCTAGTTGCGGAACCAATAAAAGAAGCACACAAAGTTTCTTCATTTGCAGTTGATGGAAGTTCCGGTGGTACAAATACACATGAAGCAAAATTATCTACTCTCCAATTTGGGGATATCAGGTTTCAGAGGGAAGTCATGAGAAAAGCCCCTTCTGTTCCCGAAGCATTGAATGAGAATCTCAACGGTGCTATCTTCTGCGACAGGGAAGCAGTGGCTGCTGTTTGTGGCGTTAGAGCCATTTGGGTCACTCCATCTAACAGAAGAAAACACATAGCCACCCAGTTATTAGATGCCCTGAGGTATTTTCATGTTCAAGCCCTTGCTATCATCTCCTATGGATTTTCTTTTCGTGTAGATTTTGTTATATTTTCATCAAATTGCAATCAAATGTATGATATTGTAACTCCGCAATTTGGATCACGAACTGCTAGCCAAATTACTTCAGCTAACTTTATCGCAGAAGACTGAATCGCTTGCTTCTTTTCGATGTCTGCTCCGATTAGCATTTGGCTATTTACTTATTATTTCTCCATCACAGGAAAAGTTTCTGCATGGGATTTGTCCTCGAACGCTCTCAACTGGCATTCTCTCAACCAACATCAACTGGAAAGGCATTGGCATCCAATTATACTGGTGGTGGTGGATATTTTCTGGTGTACAAAACCAACCATATTGTCCCATAAAACACAGATATTTGTGTCCATCTGTGCCTTGAGTTTAATTCCTTTAGAAACAATTTTGACATGTTTGCTAAATTCTAAAAGCTAGAAATAAAACTTATTTTCAGTTCTTCAATCTGACTTTTTGAAGTGATTCTCATGCACTTGTCTCCAATTACGCTCTCCTTTTGGTCTCCGTCTCGTCTCCATGTATGTAGTTTACAGTATCGTCTATTTACCAGACGATATTGTAAATCACGTACCCTTGTTTACGAGGAAGGGATTCAAACTCCGGTGCAAAGTGAGTTTGTGTCTTAATTATAAAAAAACATGTGTATCAGTAATTCAGTAAAAAAAAAAAAATTATTTGAAATTTGGTGTAGTATATGAGATCTTATTCTTCCTTATTGAACAGTTCAAAACACAAAGAATAGATGTTTAATAATGTTAAATAATATGTTTTAGTAAAACACTAGAGAGTAATTAATTATATTTGAGGAATTTGTTTAATAATGTATGTTTTAGAGACCCCATGCCTGGAGGCTTCAAACCTTCAGCCTTTTAATCAAACACAGCCAGACATATATAGAAACCCAAAAATCAACTAATTGGACCTTTTCATTTTCTATTAGGATGACGTCTACAGAAAGAGATGTTAAAACTTCAAACAACTTTGTTGCCAAAATATGCGTGTTTGTTTCTCTGCACTTAAGTTTAAATAACTCTTTATTGTATTTTTCATTGATACAATGTTACGGATAGGAAGGTAGATTATAGGTATAGGTTGAACGCTTTAAACCTTCATAACTACGGAAATGGATCATCTCCGGATTCCTTCCACCTGAGCCAACTAAGCATAAAATTTGGATCTTTGAAATTTGATAAAACGGTTAAAGTTATTATAATTTTAATGGAACCCTCTTGTTTTTAGCTGTTGGATTAAATTTTAAGGTTCCAAATTTTTTGCTCAGTTGGCTCAAGTGGAAGGGATCCGGAGATGATTCATTTCTCATAACTACAACGTCCTCCCAAACCATTATGTATATTAAAATAATTTAAAATACAATATTATCTAGAAAAGAAGTACATGAATGACTACTTTTTTTTTTGCACTAGGAGGGCAAATAAGAGCCAGAAGGATCCTTGCCAGATCTTTCTCAAATTATATCCGTTCATCGTATATTATGTTTTCATTAATTATTGTAAATTTTTTATTTAAAATTGAATATAAAGTACCTAACTGTTTGGGCCCAAAATATTAGTTTGGGCCGAGTATAGAATCATTCTCGACCCAGAAGGCCTTACGACAAGGGTACCATGGATCGTTTAGTGCGTGGGCCTCCAAACCTAGGTTGGCTAGGTCATGCTGCAAGGCAAGTCGAGTCTTGGCGCAATAAGGAGTCTCGGTAGGATTAATAACCCGGAAGTGAATCCGGCTTAATAAAGGACTAGGTTCACAATTATAGTGAAAATAGGATTGGTCGAGTTGATGTTTGATCAGGAGAAGAAGACCTAGTCCAAATAGGGTTTTAACTCGACCTTAAAGGTATCCAGTGCTATAAATAAAGGAGATTGTCCATCATACAGGCCCCTCCAATTCAACACACAACTGCCCTGCGCAAATTCTCTCAAACAACTTTTGAGATTTTTATTTTCTCTTTTCACTGACACATCTTCCGTTGGCATCAACAACACTGTGAAAGCAATCGGTGATATCTTAAGTCGGCATAGATAGCTCTGTTACTGTAGACACAGCCGATCTCGCAGCATCTTCCGGTGGCATCGACAACATTGCGGAGATGACGGTTGGTTACCTATCCGAGTCTCGGTCGAGAAGGATTTTCGAATCCTTATTGGTTGAGGTCATCTCATGAGCCTTCTCGGCGAAGTGATGTGTTACAGTTTACTAAGCTCGGCGCATTGCACGCCGAGTTATTTTATGATTGGATACTCTCAAGTGGGATTTAGAGTTCGGCATTCAGACGGCCGAACCACGTTCACTATTAAGACTTATATTCGCTTTGAGTATTTGTGCCCTTACACTTTGGTGTCGATTCAGTGTGAGTGTACTCTGACGAATAACATCACTGTAACCGAATCCGACGACGGCGATTTGTGAACTTCGTAAGAATAGTAACCTTGTCTTCAGGTTCGAGAACCCAAGAGGCCGAGACGTGTTCCTTTCTCGACCGCCATCGCGAGACGCAAAAGTCAGCCGCGCACCCAACGCAATATCAACAAATTTACTCCTCGGCCAAGCTCGGCCGACGAGTTGGCACGCCCCACATTCACCAAAGGACGTAGTTAGCTTATAGATTACTCGGCCTGCGCGCCACGTAGGCTTGGTAGTTTTTAGGGTCAACACTAACAAAAACTGACCGCACGATATACAATGAACGGATGTGATTAGAGGATCTAGTGAGGAT